ATGGTAAGTGTGCTGAACCAATGGTTGGACCAAATTGATGATCCATTAGATATATTACAAGCAAATTCCCTATATTTCAATCTACACTTCATTTAACTTTTATAAGATTTTTTTTGGACAGAAATGAAAATAAAAATTGCTTATAAAATAAATGGAAATCAATTGAATGTTTTGCTAAAAAAGATTGCAATTTATACATTAAATTCATTGCTTAACTTTAGGCCATTGATAATGTTTGTCAAAATATACTTTTTATAGTTGTCATTAAATTATGTCAGTTAAATTGTTATATAAATTTTTTAAAATGCACTATAATAAATGTATAATATTTTTATTCAAATTAATAATTATTTTATTGTTTAAATAAAGTATTACATATTACATTTTTAATGATTATCAATTTATTAACAATGATTTATTAATTTGCTATGTATTATATCATAAATTATTTAACGATTATGTTTAAATAATTTTTTAAAAATAATTTATGCATTAAAAATATTAACAATCAATAGTTTTACATTTTAATGCATACAATGCTACTAAAGTTTTATATAATTTTAGTATACTTTATAAAACATTTATATTTTTGTTGTCAAAAAATATAATTTATATAAATTTATATATACTGTACACTACAGTATATTTACAGTATTTATTTTTGAAAAGCAATATTACTTTATAAGGGCTCTCCTGTTGCAAAAAAATAACTATATCTTCCAATATGTATTGAATATACAATTTCTTATTATTCATAAACCAGTTTTTTATATATACTCAAACATCAGATATTTTCAATACAAAGTTATATACAGTATATCTCACAAATCCCGGTGCGCATTGATATACAGTTAGTATTGAGTGATATACTACTGTATATTAAAAAATCTAAATCACAAACACAACATTCAATAGGTTTTAGCTCTTATTCATACAACTATAACACACAAAACACAAAAGTTTTATTTGTATATTCAACTTATATATAAAATAAATAAATATATTGTATATGTTATCAATTTTTTTCAAATTGGAAAAATATTTTTTTTCAATATTAGGTTTTCATTATACAGTACTACTGTGTTTTCAAAATATAATATAAAATATTGAACTGATTTTATAGGTAAAAGATTATTTTAATATTAAAAATATATAAATATGGTCTATAATTTTGTAAACAAATTTATTTTATWTAAAATATATATTTTGTTTATCATTTATTGTATTGTAAATTACAAACAATTATTATAATGTATTAATAACACATACAATACTTTGATGTTTTGTAAGTAAACTATCTTTTGGGCGAAAATTTATTACTGTATTCAACAAAAATTTAGTAAACATTAAAAGATTAATAATTACAATGTTTTTTTAAATAACAAAAATGCTAAACAAAAATGTATTTAAAATATTATTTTTCAATAATAAATATCAAAATTTTAGTTCAATAAAGCATGTAATTATGTGTGTTGTGTACAGATAAATAAGGTAATGTATATCTATTTTTAAAAAATTATAATATATTAAAATACAGTACATTATTAAAATGAAAACTTTGTTTTAAAAAAATTTATTATGTAGATTAAAACATTAATAATAACAATAATATTCATAATAAACATTAAATATTATTATGTAGCAAACATTGTGTGGACATTATTATAATATATTTTATGTAATGCCTGTTATTWTTACAATACCGTATATACTTATTATTCAGCATTTTATTGTAAATTATATTTATTGCTGTATGTATAACATGAAAATTTGTGGTTTAGTGTAAAGYATGATAAAAATGTATGAATCACTATATAAACAATTTTTATTATAATTTATGTTATTATTATGATATCATGAGCTCCCAAAATTGTCAGACATATTTCAAATTATGTTTTTTCTAGTATATATATATACAAAMTTTTAATAAAAAAAACTATTTGTTGTGCAGTATAATTTTTAAAATTGTTTATATAAATTATAATATATTGTAAAATATTTCATAGAATATTTAATTTCATTTTTTAAAAACTATACAACATTTATATTATTATTATTTTTTGCAATAATACTCTACTAGATTTGATAAATTTTTAGTTACAGTAATATGAGTTAAACCAAAAAAAAACCCGCAACTAATATATTATCACATGAGATATAAAAAACATGTTGAATTTATATCCCTGTCCTCCTACTCTCTCTCTCTCTCTCTCTCTCTCTCTCTCTCTCTCTCTCTCTCTCTCTCTCTCTCTCTCTCTCTCTCTCTCTCTCTCTCTCTCTCTCTCTCTCTCTCCTCCATTCATTAGATATATTATATGCAACAATAGATATATATACACCAAATCAGACATATGAATACCAGTGTCAGTGAAAGAGCACAAAACAAAAATATCGATGAGAGGAAAGAGGGGGAGGTTTTCGTGGATCTGATAGTCAGGAAATTGGGTTCAATTTTTGTCAATAGTCTTATAATATCGACGTTTATTAATAACGGTTATTATGCTGACCCAACTTTTTCTTTTTATTTCTCTCTATAGTATTAAAATTAATTAATAGTATTATAGATAATAATGAGAATATATATTCTTTTATATGAATAATGATAGCAAAGATTTTTGGTTAGTTTTTATGGTCGATCATCGATAGGAAAAACATCCCATAAACTCACACATCAAAAGTTTTTATGTATTGTTTGCTAAAAGCATTTATAACTTATTATCGCCTTTTCTTTAATTCAATTAATACAACTCATGTTATAATTAATTTTTAGTTAATAATATATATATAATTCTAGATATATTGTAGTGACTACAGTGTAGTCATTAATAACTGCAATATAAAAAATAGGTTACTATTTAATATTTTGAAACATATGTATTGAAACTATTCTATAAATACATAGAAAATGAGATTTAAAATAAATTAATAATCTGAGATTTTTAAATATATGATAGTTTAAATAAAACAGATTTTATTTTTATAAATATATAATAGTGTAATCAATTTTATTAAGTATTATAAATTGTTTGATTAAACTTCACAAACATATGCAAAACAATTTTCTATTTCTCTGTTGAAACCATTTTTCTTACTTTTTTTTGTTGTGTAGAAAAAAAATTTCTTCAATTATTTATTAAACAAATGCATTCAAGTATTACAATAGACTATTATATTGTTGTCATATAGTTCACTGGATTTTATAAATTTTCTATTAATATAATAAAAAAAGGAGTTTCTTATATTAAATTCATATCTGTATATATAAAACGATACGGATTTCGTGTCTAATAAGATATTTAATATAATATTTGGCATAAATTTGATTATTTTTAATTTCAAAATAAAAAATAATTTTTAAAGTTTATCGTATTAGTTATTACAATAGTAGTTATTAATTACAATTACAAGTTAATAATTATTTATTTATTATGAGAGAGAGAGAGAGAGAGAGTTTGGTTTGCAATTTAATCCAATACACAAATATTTACTGTTATGAGTCATACATTACATAAAAATAAGTTATTTTCGTTGTGGGGTTTGTTTGCAACCAAACGAAAAAAAAAACAGTTAGTTTTTAGTGATGATTATGAGGGAAGGCATCGATGCGGACAATCATTTCTTATGATGTTGTGTGTGTGTGTGTGTCAGTCAGTCAGTCAGTCACTGAACAATGTAAGAGCTCATCGACGAGACATACAGTTAGTGGTCAGTTGTTTAGCTCAAAGACACTAATAATAATAATATGATAGTTGTATTGGATTTGTTGGGTTAGGTTTGCTGTTAGTGTTTTTTTTTCAGGTCTTACTTTTTGTCTCTGTATTATACATTTTGATACTTATTTTTTTATTATTATTATTATTGAGCAAAACTTAACAACTTTATAGTAAAACAAAAAAAAACAAAAACTTTTGTTTTCTAACAACAAAAAATTGGATTAAAAAAAGTGCCAATGGATGCGCTCAGAGGAATAGTAGGTTTTTTTTTTGATGTTGTTTTYGGTTAAACATAGAAAAACAATATTGTTTGTGACAATCCGTTGACATACCCGTCCAAACTATTGTCACATCAMTCAACTAACAACAAACAATTGGTTCAATAAATATCACATAAAAAATGATTGCATTTTTAAAAAAAAATGTCTTCAATTTATCAATAGTGATGTTCAATAAATATCACTAACAAATACTTCATGATATATATATATATTTTTAAAAATTCAAAAAAAAATAATCTTTTATTTATATTATTATATTTAAGATAATTATTAATACAGTACTAAAGTATAAAATATTTCTATATGTATTATTTTTAATATTAAATTGTTAAAATGTATTAAATTATAAATATTTTTGTTTGCAAATAAATTATAAAAAATAAATAAATAAATAATATTATTTTTCAATTATTAATTTTTCTATATATATATATATATATCAAAAATTATTTTATTATTTAGCAAAATTGCAAAACTGTTTTTTGATTTTGTAATTATTATTTGTTGTAAATTAAACGTTATTWTAAAACGTTTGCCGCCATCTGATGATAACAATATGTTTATTTAAAAAATAATAATGTCTTAAATAATTGGCGCAACATTTGACAATCAAAAAAAACGTTTTTACTATAATTGCATAAAACTATTGACACATACAATACATTAGTATTTTTTACCCATTGATTCAAATGTCAAAAATAAAATCAGAAACCAGTGTTTTGTATGATTTTTGTGTTTGTTTGACATCTAATGACCAAAAAAAAAATTGCAGTTTTTTTATATACAGTTTTCAAATGTTAGACAAATTAAATGTTTCTCTTTAAGTGTCAATCAATTACTAACTGTTTTATTCCCAAAACACTTAAATGTATTTATTATTCAATAATAATATGAATAATGTGTTGACTATTACTAAGTGTCAAACACTTGTGTCATAAAGTTTTATATAAAAAAAATTAATGATATTTTAAATCATTTAAAAAAACTAATTAATTATAATATAATAATGTGTTCACCGAGTAATCAACTGAGTGGTCAACTCAGTGGTCAACCSAGTGGTCAACCGATGAAGACTAGTGTTGGTGACGGCGACCAATGGTTTCGATACTATTTGCACGTAAACGACGAATTGGTGACCAGTTATGAAGTGGTAACCGATACGACCGATTCGTACGTAAGATTTGGTTTGATTTTTGCCAAAATCCGACTTATAGTCGACCGGACARCTCGTGCCGATCACATGACATACGAAACGCATGTCTTTGAGGTTTTTTTTGGAGTTTTTTTTCTCTTCTTCTTCATTCAGACCATCGATTTGATGATATATTATTTGACTGACCATTTGTTACACTTTTTTCGCCCGATATTGTCCAACAGATTTATAGTGTAAATCGATGCAAATTTGTAAAGATTCGGTGTTTCGATGTCAAAGTGGCCAACGGTTCGCACATTCGGGTGACCCGCAGCTACAGTCACGCGATTGCCCACACACGCGATCGCGTTGTCATCCAATACGGCCACTCGCGACCCGCCGACGATCGACACTCGACCCCATTGTTGACCGCAAACAACGGCACAGTTGCCATAAACGATACCCGTATTGAAGACACATTATTTAGTTAACATTTATTCATGTATTTTATTTTGTTGACAATTGATTTTAGCGTACAAGAGATTTGTGGCCAACCAATTGGTTTGGGTTTATTGCGATACACAGATCTGGTTTCCCGCACGGGTTAGCAATTAAACGGTTATTTGTTTGTTTGTCTTAAATCTAAATAACTTGATTTGTTTTTTTATTAGTTAATTGATCCAAAAGCCAGACCTTTACCGCCCGATGAGGTTATCTGTCAGCGCCGTCGGAACAGTAAATATCTGATCCGATTGATGGATGATAATCTTTCATGGTGTGTGTGTGTGCCCACTCTCATGGAGTATCCGATTGTCATATTTTTTAATAGTTTATTTCTATATACTTTTCGGTAACTAATCAATAACTTTAATTGATTTTTTTAATTTGGTTTATCAGGTTTTGGATGTCATCTGATGAAAGACTCGAACCATTGGGTAATTGTCCCGTAAATGATCAGAAAATGTTAAACACATCCAATGATCTGACTGTCCGACGGGATGTTTGTAAGGCTTTTCTTACAGCACTCGAGTCTCAGACTCTACTCGACTAAAGATAGCGATCTTTATTTGAATTAATTTGTTATTATTTAGCATTWAAATCATTATAAGATTATACAGTAATAATGTTGAAATTTGTTATACATACACATGTTTTTTTTGTAAATTTATAATTACAAATATTTATCAACTAATCATATCAATCACTGATATTAATTATGTATATTTATACCGGTAATTATATATTCTGTATTTAGAAATTTATTTCACAAATTAATATATTATAAATCATGTTAATTATATAGTATACTGTTAAAATCATTTTTTATATATATATATAAATTTATATAAATCACAATATAATATTAACTAAAATAATTAACTCTTAATATATATTATTCTTATTAATTTCTCTAATTATGATAAATTTTTTAAGTAAATTAAATAAAACATTTACAACAATTAATTTAATAGAATTTATGACATGATTTAATAACTTTAATACTATTAATATTAAGATAATATAAAATTTTCAATTTAATTGACTAAACCTGTCATAAGTTTGCTCTACTGTAAAAAATATATATTACCGTAATATAATAATTGTTAACTAATCAACAATTAATAATATTAATAAAATGAAAGCAATTGTCAATACAATGTCATCAATTTTTTGCTGAATTTATAAATTATTAGTTTTTTCAATGTATTGTCTCATAATAGATGGCAATCGAGTGATACCATCGATGAAATGAAGTGCAAGCGATTGACACAGAAAAGTGATGCCTGAGAGGAGTCACTCATTTGTTGAATGCCTTTCCAATGCATTACGTGATGTGTGACACAGGGATCGGTTGCTATGACTGTCTCCCAATTTATACATAACTGTGTATAACTCGTGAACTAACTGTTGACTGACTCTCTTTCTCTAACATCACATCATTTTATAATAAATTTTATTATCTAAAAAAAGTCTATGCAAAATACAATTGTTTTATAAAAGCAAACATCAATGAAATTGATTGATAAAAGCATTACCGTAATATAAATTGTATTCACATAATGTATATATTAAATCATTGATCGTAAAAGTGTATTATGTATTTATCAACGAAAGATATTTTTCTAAATGTGAAATTGAATTTTTAAAAATATTTATTTTAACATAAATTTTTATTAAATATTTCAAAAATTARTTGATTCATAAAGTTTATTATTAAAGTACTTAATAAATAGTATACAGTATAAGTGTTTTTTAATATTAAGTTTAAACTTTAAAGTCTTACAAAATTGTTTACTAAATATTTTGTTATGTCGTCACAACAAAAAGTTTTCTTTAATAACAAGTTTTTAAAAATTTAAGTTTAAATAAATTTATTTATATATTAATTAATTAATTGAAAACTTAGTAATTAATTTTATAATAAATATTTTTATTAAAAAACTTATGCAAATCATAAGTTTAATTATAATTAATTAATTGATTTTCTACTCATGTAATAATCATTTGCCAAAATATGTTAAAAACGATAAAAGTGTGTAAAGAGAGAGATGTTATGTTTATCAGTTGTTTTGCTGTTGAATTAATTGCAAAACAATTTTATTGACAACTCATACATTTATATTACATAAAAATATATATACTGTACGTCTATTAATATATAAAATTTATATATCTATCGTATATAAAGTGTGTCATSAATTAACGCATCGTATTTGTATTAGACATGAATGATATCAAATAACACATACCAGTCCTCAACTATAAGGCTTCCGGACTTCACTGCACTTACTTTTATAGAGTAATTCACTAATTAATTGATTATCGTTTTAATATCGTTATTCTACAAMTAATTTATATATAATTGTATTTTGTATTTAAATTTTATCGATTTTAACTCTAAATGATTATATTTTTATTAAAAATATTTATAAACTTTATTCKTAAATTGAAATCATTTTTTTTATTTCTTGAATTTATATAAAAGGTTTTTATAGATATACTATCTATAAAACAAATTATCTTAATGTCAAACATGCGTTTTTAAAATAAATAAAGAGATAGTGAGTGAGTGAGTGAGTGAGTGAGTGAGTGAGTGAGTGAGTGAGTGAGTGAGTGAGTGAGTGAGAGAGAGAGAGAGAGAGAGAGAGAGAGAGAGAGAGAGAGAGAGATCACTATAACGACTCTTTTATTAAATACACTATTTTTATTATTTTAGTTTTTATATAATTTATAATTTATTATTCTAAGTTATTTTTAAATAAATTCAATACATTATAGTTATTTATTTTTCATTTACAAATATTCAAATATATTTCTCTATTGTCAATATTTATTTTGTATTATTAATGTATACATAAATCAATGTAATTTAAATTTCAAAATATATATTTTTTGTAAATGCATAAATGGAAATGTTAAAGTAATTAGATTAGTTTTATTTTTATTTTTCAATAAAAAAGATACAATTATTCATCTTTTAATAAGATTTTATATAAAAAATTGAAAATATTAAAATAATTTATTATTGATAATATATTTTTCTAATGTTGAAAATATTTTTTACTTAAATTTATGATAAAACTTTATTTTAGTATTTTTTGTTAACTTCAATAATAATATTGTTTTAATTACTATTTTTGTTTTGTTTTACTTATATTGTAGTAATAAATGTTAAAACAAAATAAATCAATTAGTACACACTGTGAAATAAAGTATTCAATCTTAAAGTAATTATTGTTTCACAGTTAGTATCTTCATATTATAACAAATATTTTCAATCAATTTTTTAAAAATATAAATTTGTTACAACAATTTATAAACTCCATTCATATATATGTCGATTTTGTGTTATTATATAAATAATATAAATATTATATTATAATATATTACTATATAATTTAAAAGTTTATTGTTATAAATAATAAATAAACAAATATAAACCAATATAATCTTATATTCAATTTATATATAGTATAGGGATATTTGATAAGAAAATTATCAAAAGGTTTTTTTTTGTAAAATACAAAATTTAAAAAAAACTCAACTTTAAAAATTGATTTAACTATTATATATTGTCTTAAATTTAAATAGAATATTATATTTTGTTTTTCATAATATAAAATCTTAAATTTTATATTTGCTTTTTAAAGTACAATATTTTTAACGAGTTAAGAGTAAAATTTTGTAAATTATAAAATTTATGTAAATTCAATTTATGATTATTCTTACAATTTTTTATTATTTTATCAAAATATATTAAATAAATTTATGTGACAGTAATGAAGCAAGAATTTAACTTTTGTTTTGAAAAATATATAAAATAATTATTTTTACAAATATAAAAATTAATTTAATTAAAAATTTAATATTATATTTCTTATATTTTTTTATTAATTATTTATATGACAATTATTTTTTCTTACAAAACAAATAGTAATGTCAAATTGATTTAGGGATTAACTATATTTTTGTACAAATGTTTTATTAATTATAATAAATTGCAAGTATATTAGGGGCGATTCACATATTACGTTAGCACTTGGGGAAGGAGTGTCGACTATAAACAAACTTTTGCAAACTAGTGGGAGGGGTAGAGACCTTAATAACTTAAAGCATTTAATTTAAAATTTAGTTTAGAATTTAAAAAGCAATTAAATAATATTTTTATTTTATTTCTTATGAGTGGGGTTAGAGGTTAGGGATATATAAACGTAATTATTTAAAATKACTACATGCGAAAAATTGCGAACATAGGGGGATCTAGATTTCTTAAAATACAAAAACGTAATATGTGAATCATCCCTTATAGCTCAACCAATAAATTATTTTATTTAAAAAACTTATCTAAGATAAGTTATCTTATAAAAATATTA